GTATGATTTATTTACTTGCTAGGTATAGCTTAATGACAAGTATAATACGCAGAAAATTTAACTTAAGCATAATAATTAACAAATAATTGAGCTAAATCCCATTAACATTGAATCACACATATGATTTTTATCTTGAAAATCCCTCAGGAACGGAAAATCTAAATTAACGCGAATAAAAATGCGCGGTGTCCACTTGTAAAAAATACTAATGAGATTTATGTAATTGAGATTTTCCACTGACAATAGTTTGTAGTTGTGGGCCAATTTTACTTGTATCAATTATTAATAAAAGAGATTTAAGATGCTCATCGGTTAACTTAGATCTGCACAAAAAAAAGGTGTACTATATTCAAGATGAATGGTCTTATTTCAATGCTTTGTTGTGTTTGTATATCCGCAAGTAAAACTCGTCTCGATTTGAAATTCTAGTAATACTTGTTCAACAATAGCTAATAAGCCTTGCTTCAAGATTAGAATCAACTTGCCCTAACCAAAATACCTATAATTAAATGAAGGGTATCTATTGCTCAATTGCAGTATTATGTACATCTTAAATGAAATAGTCTTACACTTGTTTTAAATATACTTTATTTATATTCAATAATACCTTGTTCTTAAATCCAATACAACTAAATTTGTTACAATAATAATATGATCTTTGACATAAATATATTGATTTTGGTTGAATTATAGGATAGTTTCATTGAAGAAATTATTAATCTTAAAATAAGATCAGGCTGTTCTTGCCTTTTAATAGGGTTCTCACTGGTACCTATCCACCGAAAAACATTATTCAAAATTCCTCTGTCCTCTGAAGTGTCTCACCTATAATAAAAAAAAAAATAATTTTTTAACTTCAAAACCTAAATCGAACATAAAAGTTTGTCCTACTAAGATAAGAGGTCGTATCTACAGAATGAATATTTTTAGTAAATATGGGCAGGTAGATAAGTACGTCCTTTTAGACTTCGCAAATAAGTTTTGCATATTTTACTAACCTTTTCTTATAATTATAATAAATATTTTCTAATGCAAATAGGCCTTTATTATTTTGTGTTATAGTAAAATAAAATGTAAGTTTATTAAATTTCTAAGAATCTTAAAATCAGAATTTTGGTAGATACGACCTCTTGTCTTAGCAAGGGAGACGTCGTCTTTCCAAAAAGTCGTCATCCAGCATCATACATTTTTTTTTACTTCTATTCCAGTTTGTTTCGTGTTGATTATAAATTTACTTATATATAATACTACCTAACAAGAAGTGATCTAAACATACTTACATTTAAACATTGGTATTAGGTCGCTGAGGCCCCATTCATTTAACAAATGTTTCATTTCAGTTTAATTTATTCATAAAATTATTAATTGAATCACAAAGGATTTCTAAGAAAAAGTAAAACGCAACCCTGACGATACGATACAAACATGTTAGAAAATGGACAATAGGATGAACACGTGCTAATGCCAATTTTTCAGATTCTCTATAAATGCGTTGTGTCTCTGACTTCCAAATAATAAGTATCACATCTCAACATGTGCCAGTCATATATCTACCGTATCAGTGCAGTGGTTGCATTTTAAAATAAGTTTTATCTGGCAACACCGTGCAGTGAATTTGTACTAGCTAAACATAGGTTTTTGATTTGAATTGTTTAATTCTTGTTCTGAAATTTAAATGCTTTGAATCGAATCCTTTTATAACATTGAATAAAGTACGCAATAGTCGGTTTTAAGAGCATATCGTACTTATAATGAACGTAAGAGCTTTCTTGGATTAATTCACAATTCTATACTCGAATTAAATAATTTATTCTCAGATTAATTATTATAACTCTTAAAATACAAGATTATGTCTATACTTCACTCAACATTTATTTTCTTATTGTATCGAGAAATATTATTTGAAGCAAACTCTGCTTGATTTCAAACAAATGTAATCTTCCAAGTGTAAAGCTTTTCTTGAATGTAGATGATAATTTTTTTCTGTGTATAAACAAACATTCTTTGTGTACTTCATTTTGCAGAATGTTTTCTCACACAAGTAAGTGGTAATAAAAACAGAAAACACTTACTAGCCAATTTATGCAAATTATCAAATTATACCAGTGAAAGACATAAAATTCCAACAAGGATGAGTTTTAATTATATCACTTCGCTGTAAATCAATAATTTCCATTTGAAGTTCCGGGGCTAGGGTTTCAATGTCAGCATCAAAAGGATTTTGAAAAATTTTAATTTCATTCGCAAAGACATCAAAGTCTGAGAAACGAATATCAAAATTAATCTCCAAAGCACTAAAATCATCTATTGGAAAATCTCAGTGGTGTGGCACATAAAAATAACAAGTAAAATCAAAATACTGTTTCGTAAGAGCGTTGGTGGGTTCAAAGATGTCCTTTAAACGCGGTTAAGTACTACTTTATTTCACAACAGAAAATTTCGCTTGCTTCGCCTTCCCTAGACAGACTCACTGGCGGTCGCACCGCTAGCCTTTTTATACTCCAATTACTGCAATCTCGAAGTGAGTGGACTACACCACAGCTTTTTCGAACCACTGAGGTTATTCACGGATGTTCAATTGAATCGGTCATTTTGAAAAGGGGTCATATCTTTTTGGCATTTTCACTTTTTGGCGATTTTACATTTAGCATTCCTAGAAGCAACCATTCAAGATGAAAACGGCTCATCTGTCAAAATTCTTACCGCCTATTCACACCACACAAAAATCAGTTCATATCGAAAACGGGTTATCTCCAGGAGATATAACCCCTTCTCAAAATGAATCGCGTTTTGTCCCCACCGCCAAAGTTTTATTAGGTATTATGGATATTTTGTGGTTTGCGGAACGGATGATGCAATCTATCCAGTAATTGTTTAGACTACGAAGGCGAAAGACACAAAGGCCCTGACGAAGTTTGTTCTTTTTTAAATGGCTACATTAACAATAATATTTCAGAAAATATTGAAGAACTGCATCTATTTTGTGACAAATGTCCTGGTCACCATAATACGATTTCTTTTGGCTCTGGTAATGAAAAGTTCCAGATAATTATTATTTACTTTTCGCAACGAGGTCACTCATTCAATGATTGTGACAGGGATTTTGGCACAGTAAAAAGCAAAATTCGTCGCCTCGACCGGATTTTCTCTGTAGGAGAATATGAAGACCTAATAGTTTCTTCATCTAGAAGCAATAAATTCGACATTAGACATGTAACTCACGTAGATGTAACTGGTTTCGAACAGTGGTGGCCGGATTTCAAGAAGAAAGTGTTGTCTACACGAAGTCTTGGCAAACAAGTTCCAAAAGAAGAAAAGGTTAATTTCACTTTTAACTCCTTCTATGAATTCAGCTTTAACTCAGAAAATTTGGGTGTCATATTTGCCAAACCATACATTGGCAGCTTTGTTGAGGTACGCTATCTTTTTTTGAAAACTCTACAACGAAGCCATTTCGACAATAGTGGTGCCCGATCCTTAGAATTTTCCAGCCTATCAAGCCAAAATTCCGATAAATGTTAAGAAAATTGAGGATATAAAGAAGCTTCAGCAATATATTCCAGATAAATACAAAGAATTTCACACCACTATCTACGAACAGCCCACTACCACCGCTGAAGAAACGGAGGAAATATATTTTATGTTAAGATTCAAAATTGATGGTGTCTACCCTGCGATCGGAACGCCTCATAATTCTCTTTTGCAAAGACACGCAGTTAATAGCTTGTCAGCTCGCCGTTCTTGTAACTCTGTGCTGTTTTTATTTAAGTTACTGACTGATAAAATTGATGATTCCGCCATATTAGAAAGGATTAACTTTCATGTTCCTCGATTTTCGGCAAGGTCTGCATGCACTTTTTACCTTCCAGTGCCTAGAACAAATGTTTTAAAAAGCTCTTCCATTTATGTAATGTGTGAATGTTCTAACGAAATGTGCAGTAGTTTAGACATCTTTAATTGTACTGTAAGTAAAATTAAGAAACATTTTCTCTTATACTAGGTTGTAACTCTTGTTCTTATTGTAACCTACTTACTTTTGAATTTTTATTGTTCAGATTCTAAATATTTTTTTTTTCTTGTAATCCTGTTCTTTAATTAGGTGTCCTGTTGAACAGTGTATTAAATAAATAAATAAATAAATAAATAAATAAATAAATAAATAAATAAATAAATAAATAAATAAATAAATAAATAAATAAATAAATAAATAAATAAATAAATAAATAAATAAATAAATAAATAAATAAATAAATAAATAAATACCACTTGTTTAAAATAAACAATATTTATATTCTATTTGGATTTTAAATACTTGTTCATTTTGAAAACGGGCTATCTCTTTTTCAAAAAATGCCAATTTTTAACCCCTTTTTAAATTGAAATTATATTTTTTAATAATTCATGGCAATAAAAGTTCATGTTTAAAGCAAACAATACCTTACAAAAGATTAGTTTTAAATAGTATTAAAGATAAAAGGTTTTTCATCTCTCCTGTAAAATTTTAAAAAGTGGATATGACCCCTTTTCAAAATGACCGATTCAATTGTTACTGTGATTTCGAAAGTACTCCTAGCGCCATCTGTTAGCGATAGAGGGTACTAACACTACCTATTTCCGTTTTTGACCACTAGATTTCGTCAAGTGTCACGGTCGTAACAATACACAATAGTGATTCAACTAGCGAATTTAGCAAGCATATGCTCGCTCAGGGCGCGTACTGGGCTAGTCAAAGAAATTATAGATAATTGCAGAAAAATTAAAACGGTTTTGGCCCTTGCAACTTACTGGAGTATTCAGTGTGACCCTAAGGCTGGAAAGTTTGGAGACCCCTGTTCTATCGTATCGAAATGACTAACTCGGTACTATCAACGTTGACTACATATTATCTGTCACGGAATAATTTCTAAAATAAAAGACAAAGGCGATTGTGTATAAACAACAATTTATTTAAATATAATAATTTGCAAGTAAATTTCTAAAATTGTTCGCATTTTTTACAGGGATCTTACGGCATAGTGAAGCTAGCGTATAACGAAGAAGACGATACCCATTACGTAAGTAATTTTATGTTAAATTTATAAACACTTTCATTAACATGTAAATTTAAATTGCTTTCAATATCGTTAAAGTCTAGGTACGCGTAGGTAGGTATAAACGTATAATCTTCTTTTTAAAATGTCTGAAACCAATTTAGGTTAGTAATATAAAATTTTATTGAATTCTACGTTGTAAATAGATAAAGTAAAAGAATGAGAATAATACATGCTGAGTTCAAATAAAATGCCTTTAATAAAAGGTTCACGACAAAATAAATGTATTTTATTTTATATGCCTACCTATCATTAGTAGTTAAGATTTTATACTTTCATCAAGATGATTTGAGATCGACTGAAACGTATAATTTTTTTCGATTTACGGTAATTCATATTCGGATTAAAAGATTCAATATCTAGGTTGATTTGCCCGAAATAGTGCAGTATGTGAAGCTTGAAGCCTGTCGCACACTAATGATACTATTACACAAGTGATGAAAAGCACGAATATATGTGAGCAGCTTATTTCAATCATAAAAATTAAAAAAAATAATCTTACTTGGCTTACACATAGAAAACACTTTGCGCCTATGTACTAGTGATATTGAACCCAATATTGATCATCTTGTTTCTCAGCTTTAAACTCTAGTCTCTCATTAATTTTCATTTTATTTTTCTATCTTTATTTATTAACTTGCTTTTTATTAATTTTTTTTTACACTACAACAGATTTGTATCCAATTACCGGATAGAAACCATAAATACATTATATAAATACATAAATACAATAAAATTACATAAATGAAATAAAAATTACATAAATGCCATAAAATTACATAAATACTACTTGTTTTCTAACTACATTGTTCCATTTAAAAGGAAAAAAATACGTTATATAATTTAGGCTATTTTTAACCCCAAACTCCTAGGCTCCACAACAGGTAATGAGTAATGTAGACAGAGCGGAGAGTGACGTAAAATTTAAAATCTAAACATGTGGGTCAGCGGCGTAACATAGGTATACTACATGGTTATCTTTATTTCCACTAACAAGGATGCTCTCATAATTAGGATCGAACTTCATTTAGGTAAGTCGTTTGATCCATTAAATTTGTCCCAGGAGTAGGCAAATAAAACATATGTGTATTTCTTGTACTAGGACGTGGCACGTAAATCTCAAGCCTGTGTAGTACTTCTTCACAGGCAATTAGATGGTGAATAACTTTGAATAGAAATACCTGTTGTGTGATAATTCTTCGGGACTCAAGCGATTTGACAGAAAAACGATCAAGAAGTGCATCATTGGGATAGCCTATAGCAGGATATGTTCCGTCTTGTTTGAAGGAAGCATATTTAAGGAAGCGACGCTGGACTGATTCTAACTCAGAGATATAAATACTATATAATGGAGCCCGGATAACAGAGGCATATTCAAGTTTGGATGTGACATATGAGTTGTAAAGTAGCTGAAGTGTATGGAACACTGTGAAATTTTTTGAATTGCGAATAACGAATCCTAAGGATTTACATGATTCATACGTTTTCTTTTGCATATGTTCCGAAAAAGATAGTTTTGAGTCAAACCATACCCCAAGATCTTTAATTAAGTCTACTCTAGGTAACGATATAACATCGAGCAAATAATTAGCTCCAATAATACTTTGTTTTAAGGAATAACTCACGATATAGAATTTTGATGGGTTTAATAGGAGCCGATTTTTTACACACGATTCGTTAACCTTGTTTAAGTCAGTTTGCATTTTCTCAGTGTCGGATACATTATTAATTTTGAAGTAAAGTTTAAGATCGTCTGCATAGAGTAAACTATTTACTTTTTGGTCTGCAATAATGACGTTGATAAAAATATTCATTTTGATTTACCGTGGCGGTAGTAGTATATTACAAACCGAGGTGGGAAGTTTCATTCCTGTCGTGAGATTAGTTAGATCACCGAGACGCGAAGCGTCGAGGTTAGCTATGATCTCGAGACAGGAATTAAACTTCCTACCGAAATTTGTATACTATTTTATTTACAACCATCATATTTCGATCAAAGTTAATAAATCTCTGTTTTGTTCTGAACATACCTAAAATATTACATTTAACGACAAATTACCAAGCGCGCGGTTTTCTCAGAATAATCAAGTAGGTAATATATTGTTACTGTGATTACGGGGTAAACAACTGTCACCAATATAAATAAATGTCAGATAAAGCCGGATATTAAATTCGCGAATAATAAATATTATTAAGTAGTTTGTTATATTTTAGATCATTGTTGTTTCTTATTGTTTGCTATTAAATAGGTATTATAAAATTTGTCAAACACTGTGTTATTTTTTTTTAAATATAAAAAATATTCATCTAGAATAGATGAAATGAGGGCGGGAAGTGAGAGCGGGAAGTAGAGGTATGTAATGTGACACTTCCCAACCTTCAATGACGTTAGTAATGACAACATTACATATATGGTTGTAAATAAAATTATTAATTGTGTTTGGAGAAAATGAATTTTAAAAGAATTTTGCAAATTCATAACTATTTCCTGTGGATGATTATAATTTTCGTTATTATAATGCATTGTTCTCGGAAACTCATTACAGTTTTGTTTATTTTTTATATATCTCCAGAATTCTTTAGAGTCTTGTTGGATTTCGCGTTCAGCTTTATTATAGTAATTTTTGTAAGCGATTCTTGTCTCATTCTTTATCTCTTTTCGAAGACATTTAAAATTAATTAATTTAGAGTTATCACTGTTTTTCTTCCAGATTTCCAAACACGATGTTTAATTTTAAGTTTTATGATAATGCTGCTCGTGAATCATGACAAATAACACCGATTTGAGATTTTACATTTCAGCACATATCTATCAATTAAATCATATATTTTACTGTAAAAGTAATTAAATGCTAAATTCACATCAATAAAGTCATCTAACCGATTCCAACGTCTAGTATAAATTGCCAATGTCATCTTTCTTATAATTGTAAAAAAAAAGAGAATTAGATTTAGTTGTTTTTTGGCGAATACCATTTATTAAAGCTAGAAGTGCTGGGTGAGATGCTGTTTGTCTTCATCTAATAATATATAATAATAATAATAATAATAATAATAATAATAATAAAGGTCTTTATTGTTTTCATTACAGCATTTGACAAAATTAATATTACTAATAGTTTATTAAAGAAAACAAAAGGCGAAGTTCACTTTCCAAAGTTTAAAAAAAACACTTGGAAAATGTTCTTCCACTTAACCCAATGATGGTGTTTATATACATATGTAAATACGAGTAGGTATATGAACTAAATCTAAACATATTGAAAAATCAAAATAAAAACAAAAAACTATATCTTTATATTTTTATATTTTAGAGGGGACAGGTAGAACAATTACGATTTAAGTGCATTGCTTGCTAAATAACAAGGTTTTGTATTTACATTTGAAAGTAAGAGGGTTAAGATTTTTAAATATAATAGGAACAGAATTATACAATTGAAAAATTTGATATGAAAACGAACGTCTAAATAGTTCGGATCTAAATTGAGGTGGTGATAGTAGACCTTTGAATCTTAAATTTAAGTTGTGAACATCTGTCCTAAAGGATATTTTTTTGTAAAGATAAATGGGGATTTTATACAAGACAATTTTGTGGTATAGCGTAGTTGCATGATGAATTCGTCGGTTTTCCATATTTAGCCAACCGATTTCTTTGAGTTTATGTGATATCCTTTGATATTTTTTTATACCGTATATGAGTCTTAAGCAACTGTTTTGTATTTTTTGTATTTTTTTTTTTGAAGGTTACTGTTAAATTTGGACCATAGACAGAATCAGCAAAATTAAAATTTGATAGTACAAGTGATTCACATAGTGATATTTTAATACTTTTAGGCAACAACTTACGATTACCGTATATCAATTTTAATGAGCTATAAGCTCTCTGAATCAATTTAGTGATGTGTTTTTCAAACCTTAATTTAGAATCAATTAAAACTCCTAAGTTTTTAGCTTCATTTACTATGGTTAGTCTATCATTATTAATTTCAATACCTAATTCTTCAATAATTTTGTCACGATTACGACTTGATCCAAACAACATCACATTAGATTTTGAAGCATTAATTAGTAAACAGTGCTCAGTTGCTGATCCAACAAAAGAATTCAAATCACGATTAATTATCTCACACGCATTTTGTGATAGATCTGGAGGGAAACTGTAATAAATCTGAGTGTCATCGGCATATAGGTGAATTTTACAGTTTTCTAAAGAATTAATAAGGTTCGAAGTGTATATTGAAAAAAGCAGAGGGCCTAAAATGGAACCTTGGGGTACGCCCGAGTGAAGATTTAAAAATTCTGATTTATGTTCATCGATTTTAACACATTGTTTGCGATTTTCCAAAAAATCTTTAATAAATAATATAGCGTTGTCAGCAAAACCTATATATCTGGCGCTGAAACAACCTCACAGTCCAAATTTGAAAAGACTAAATCCAAAAGTCTATTATTTTGATTTAAGAAAGAGTTATATTGTTTTAAATCGAAAAAATTTGAAAAATTATTCAAGGAACGTACCTTTAAGCTATTATTGTTTTCAGAGAGAGACGATGCGACTTCAGTCACATTGAAATCACCTAAAATTAATGTTTGATCATGATAGGATGTTAGAGATTCAAGGGCTTCAAGAAATGACTTAAATAAGTTTATACTAACATCGGGCGGAATGTATATCAGAATTATATTGACACAATTTGATAAGTCATTTGACAATATGGGTAAACTTACAAAACGGGAAATATGTTTGATTGAGCATAATCATTATACTATTATAATTAATACTTTTTGTCGCTTTTTTATTCACTACTACATACTTATTTCTTGCAAACGACTCGCGACCTAATCAAGTCCAAAAATTACGCCCTCAGCTAAGCAAAGGTTGCCCATTCTTGCTGTGGAGTATGAAAAATGTAAATTATAATATGGATTCTATGAATATTTTATAAATATTGCAATATATTTTG